GCCACAATGTGTGCTAATAACATATTGAACAACGTTGTTAATACAACTACTGGTGAAATACCATTCACCATGTGGCATGGCAGGAAGCCTGATCTGAGTTACCTGCACACATTTGGTGCACCAGCATGGGTGCATATCCCTACACAACTCAGGCGTAAAGGGCAACACAGAGCTAAACAATTATTCTTCGTTGGTTACCAAGCAAACCATAGGGCATATAGATTTTGGGAGAAAGGCACATCTAAGGTGTTATGTAGTGCCAATGCCCAATTTCTAGAGCACGTAGGATGGGATAAGTTAGAACAGGATAACAATAAAGAAGTAATTATTGAATGCTATAGAAATCCCATTAATTATCCCTGTAACTTTAAGAATAAAGTAAAGAGACAAATACAGGCAGAGATAGAGCCCATAAAGGAAGAAATAGTACCAATAGCTGAGCAAGCTGAGGAACATGAACAGGTAGTAATTCAAAAAAGTCCTCAAACAAGCCCTGCAATTCCCAGAAGAACTACACGAATATCTAGACCGCCTGATAGATACCAGGCTAACACAGTGTGCCAGATTAATAAAGTTCCATATGCTGTAGATGAAATAAACATGTATCCTACTAAAGATAAGGAAAGTTGGTATGCAGCAATGAATAAGGAATTAAAATCCTTAAAGGATATGAAAGTATATGAAAATGCGAGATTACCTGTTGATATAAAACCCATTGGCTGCAAATGGATTTTTAAGATAAAAACTGAAAAAGATGGTAATATAATCCATAAGGCACGATTAGTAGCCCAAGGTTTTAGACAAGATGCCAATGACTATGATGAGGTATTTGCACCTAGCCTTAAAGCAGCAACATTAAGGGCAGCTTTAGTGTGGGCAGCAAGTAAGAAATATATAGTCAACCATCTAGATGTAGAAACTGCTTACTTGCACGCTCCACTAAGACATACTGTATACATGAAAAAACCTATTGGATTTAAAGGTGAAAATAATAATGATTATTGGTTGTTAAAAAAGAGCCTCTATGGTCTTAAACAATCAGGCTATGAATGGAACCAGTATATTGTAAAGGAACTAAACAATATAGGGTTTAAAGCTGGTTTAGCCGATCCATGTCTATTTAAAAGGGAGACAAATGGGAAAATATCATTATTACTATTATTCACAGATGATATTGCTTTGATTACAGAAACTAATGATGAAGCCAATAAAATAATAGCATCATTAGCTAAGAAAATAAAAATCAAGCAATTAGGAGAGATAAAGAAATATCTAGGTGTGAATATACTGAAAACACAGAAAGGTTTTAAGATATCTCAGGAGGATAAGATATCTAAATTGCTAATAGATTATAAGATGGAACTTTGTAAGACTGCAAAGACTCCAATGAGTCAGGATATTTGCAAAATGGATACTCAAAGTCCCAAGTTTGATAAGGTAATATATCAATCTTTGATTGGTAGCTTATCATACATTAGCAATTGGTCAAGGCCAGATATTGCTTATGGTGTTAATCAACTGGCACGACATAATAATGATCCACTTCAATGTCATTGGAAAGCATTAAAGAGAATTTTAAGGTATCTTAAAGGAACATTACACCATGCACTGTATCTAGAACCAAAAGGTGATCTAATACTGAGTGCTTATGCAGATGCTAGTTTTGCATCAGAAAGAGACACAAGAAAGTCGACTTCAGGAACAGCCATAATGCTGGGTAAGACATTAATAGGTTGGAAGTCAATAAGACAACAGCATATAAGTTTGTCTACTATGGAAGCAGAATTCTCCTGTTTGTCGTTATTATGTACTGAATTAATCATGTATAAGCAGATGATGAATGACATGGGATTAACTGTAAATTATCCTATAATTGTACATGAAGATAATCAGGCAGCAATTCAAATGGCCACAAATATTGCAGTAAAAACTAGGAGCAAGCATACAGATTTAAGGTATTTAAACGTTAGACAATCTGTAAAGAGTAAAATGATACAGCTGGAGTACTGCATGTCGGAGGACAATATAGCTGATAACTTTACTAAAGCCCAAGGTGCCATTAAGCACCAAGAGAGTTGTGTAAAGTATGGTTTTAGATTGTAAGGGTATTGTATATTTATATCACCCAAAAGGGGAGAATGTTGGGTATGACATTGATACACCAACTAAGTTTGGGTGAATAAATATATAAAACCAAGGTTTGGGTGTTTGTAACTTGTAGCTTTAAGCACCAAACTGCTTGTAATTAACTAATTAAGGGTGCAGTTACAAACGGCAATAAAAGGCAGTAGGGGAAACGTAACCTCTCTCTGCTTGTTATGTCTGCTTGCTACTGTTTGTTTGCTACTGTTTGCTACAACTGTTTGAATACCTGAACGAAAGGACTATTTCACTGATGTGCTGATATCCTGTGAATACTCAGCGTTGTCTTCAAAAGGAAAGGTATCAGAGGAGAAGATATCTTTATAAGCAGATAAGGATATAGAACTGACTAGTGAATGAACTAAGTTACTGAATGGATATATTTGTGAATGACATATGGACTGATTGACAATGTTTAAACTCTAATTGGATTAAACAACTATTTAAACTACAAAAAACAGTGTTTGTCATCAGTGTGTGTAAACTCTAGGGCCCTTCCTCTCTCATTTGGCTGCCTGGCTTGACTGCTGCTGCACATTCTGTTTGGGGGTTTGTCCCCAATCACTAACAGATTGTGAGAGCACTGCAATAACTACAGGGACCAGTCATTATAACTTCAAACAGTCACTGAATGAATGGTCATAAATTGAGGACTACCTATAATCCGCTTCATTCTTGAAGTAAACGAGTATGGCTTCTCAGGTAGTGGTATCCACCTAGAGCACAGGTGTCAAATTGATGGTGTCACATTACAGTCACATGTCATCACCGTTTTTCCATCACACGCGGAGCTGGGATTGGCATGGCCTGCGCATGAGGCATCCTGCCTGCGGGCTGCCAGTTTGACACCCCAGGCAGGGTTTGGAGTAAAAGCATGGATCCTGATTTTTTTGCTCACAAGGGGAAAACCTGCTTTTAATACTTTCATAGCTAGTACCCTTTTACTTCGCTTTGAGCATATCTATGGCTGGACTAGAATTTTTTTTAAAAGCATTCTAGAAAATAGCAGCCGCTGCAAACTGCTTCTGGAGCATTGTTTACACACACACACACACACACACACACACCAAAAAAAGGCATGGTTGCAGTCGCTCGGTTAACTCAGAAGCATTTTTTTTTTCCTTTTCAGAATCTAGAACAGGAAGAATGTATAATAAATGGGACATTGGAATATACTTTCAGTTCGGTGTGGGATTACTTGTTTGTTCTGAGTACCCTCAGGATGAAGTACAGGTAGTTCCCGACTTACAACTGTTCATTTAGTGAACTGTTAAAAGTTACAACAGCACTGAAAACAGTGGCTTATGACCGTTTTCCACAGTGGCCACCTTTGCGGTATCCCCATGGTCAGTGATGGGATTCAAATGTTTTTACTACCGGTTCTGTGGGCGTGGCTTGGTGGGCGTGGCAGGGAAGGATGCTGCAAAATCTCCAGTCAGAGGTGGTATTTGCCGGTTCTCCAAACTATTCAAAATTTCCGCTCCCGTTTTTCCAGAACTGGTCAGAACCTGCTGAATACCACCTCTGCCCATGATCACATGATCAAAATTCAGGTGCTTGATAACTGGCTTATATTTATGACGGTTGCAGTGTCCCAAAGTCATGTGATCGCTTTTGTGACCTTCTGACAAGCAAAGTCAATGGGGAAGCCAGATTCACTTAACAACTGTGTTACTGACTTAATGATTGCAGTGATTCGCTTAACAACTGAGGGGAAAAGGGTCATAAAATGGGGCAAAACTCACTTAATGTCTCACTTAACAATAGAAATTTTGGGTTCAGCTGTGGTTGTAAGTCGAGTACCTATACAGTACTGATTTGTTCTGGCACTTGATAGTTATGGAACAACTGCTCTGTAGAGCTGTGGTGAAGATGGCATTTTAAGTGTTATCAACTAAGTGGAAGTAACAAAACATTTTTTTTCTTTTGAAATAAGAAAACTGCTAGTTTTTGTGCATTTACTGTAGTAGGAAATGAAATACAATATACGGTATCTTTCTCTAACAAAGATAGCTGTTGTTTATTTCTTTTCCTTTCAGTTCTGCAGGAAGGACTGTTTATACAGAATTTCAGTGGCTAGCTAAAATACAGATGATTAATCAACACCTTTACATTGCTTGGAAACCCCTAGCGGGACTATATGACACATCCTTGTAGCCTTGAGGGTGTCCATGTTTGCTCCCAAGGTCCCAGAGACCAGCTATTCTTAATTCCTTTTTGTAATCATGCTGCAGGTGCAGCATAGCATATTCTGGCACACAAGATATGCAGGCCATTATTCACTGGGAGCAATGATTGAGTTGTTGCATTTCTCTGTGTTTGCATCCATTAGAATAAAGATCTTGGGCCAGCTTATTTCTGTCATGTTTCATAAACGGCAGGATCAAATCACCTCGTAGATGCCAGCTCTGTTTGGCACCATTCAAACCATTAGCTGATCCTTCCCACCCCCTCCATTGCCAGTGGTAAATAATTTCTCTCTCCATTAGTCAATAACAAAATCGACACATTTTGCCGGGTACTGCAGAGAAAGAAATACACTTATCCTAGTTGAGTTGCAGTAACTATATACACTGTTGCCTCCCCCCCCCCCTTTTAAACATTTTTGATTATTAAACCCATTTCCTTCTGTTGGCTGGGAACACTGCATGTTATGGTTCTCCTCCCCCCCCCTTTCAATTTAGAGAGATTGTGTTTGCACAGCACTTCTCTCACAATCTGTCATGCTCTGTTTTGTTTAGCGCACACTTTAGAGATTTTATTATAGCCTCTGTCTTAGGGCCTTTCCTTCCCAACCCAAATCCTGCTGCAGAATGTAACATTCTAGGATAAAAATGCATGTACTTGTCTCATTCCAGAGATTTACCAATGAAGACCACCTGGCTGTTCATAAACTCAAGCATGAGATGACATTGAAATTCGGTCCTTCCAGAACAGATTCCGTCATCATAGCAGGTACGCACCATGTTCCAGATCAATTTTAAGGGGAATGGTTAATACAGCCCATTGTAAGATTGATAGTAAGAGCTTGAATGCACTAGGTATTATTCCACCTGTTTTGCAGACTTCAGTTAATCAAGGTAAAGAAGGAAGGAAGGAAGGAAGGAAGGAAGGAAGGAAGGAAGGAAGGAGGGAGGGAGGGAGGGAGGGAGGGAGGAAGGAAGGAAGGAAGGAAGGAAGGAAGGAAGAAAGAAAGAAAGAAAGAAAGGAAAGAAAGAAAGAAAGAAAGAAAGAAAGAAAGAAAGAAAGAAAGAAAGAAAGAAAGAAAGAAAGGCTACTAAGTAGACCTGCCTTTTTATGTATTACAGAAGTGTCAGATGCCTTAAGAGTTAAAGATTTACAGACAGTTCTTTAACACGTCATGTGTAATTTCAGAGTGACAAACAATAGTTGACAGCCCAGCTTCCTTTTCTACTCCCAGGTGTCATTTTTCTTAAGTGGTAGGTGATCACTTAATACATTTGAAACCTCGCCTAGCACTTTGCTGGGAAGGCATTTGCAAAGCCCCAGACTACTCCCTCCTAACATGCACAGGTTTGAGGAAAATATTCCTGCCAGCCTAGCAGCAGCCATTTAACACAGAGAAGGCCATAGAGCATTCCTCTTCTATCAATTGTATTTGGGGTCTTTTAAAAACAAGACTGACAGGCTACAGATCTTGTAAGAAATTGTCTTGGTTATAAAGTCTCCAACAGAGAAGAAAAATCCTTCAAGACATCTCTTTCTCCCGTGTTGGCTGAGAACATAGAGAGTTGCAATTTCAACATACCTGAAGAGTACGAGATAGAGTTAAACAGTTATTTCCTTTACACAGACTGTCCTTGCATATTTTGGTTCCTTCATCTGCATCCCCTAGAAAGGGAGAATTGCAATTTCTTCTGCTACTGCAGTTTTGACAGGGAAAAGTGCTTTCATTCTTGGTTAAAATAGAAATATGGAAAGTCATTCGAACTAGTTTGGGTCCATGAATATACTTGTAGCAAGTCAACACTAATAAGCCAATATTGTTTCCTCTGTCAGGCAGACATACTGTACAATCTGAAATGGAGGAATTTTTTTCCCCATGATATCCCTGATCCTTTTTTTTTCTTCTAAATTTTGTTTTATTATAATTATTTTGAGGCATTATGTAAGAACTACAGGTAGTCCTCAGCTTATAACCATTATTGGGACCTTTCATCCCTAACATTGCAGTCATTAAGAGAGTTATGCCCAATGTTAACGGCCTTTTTGCCACAGCCATTAAGCGAATCACATGGTCATTAAGCAAACCCAGCTTCTCCCCCCCCCACCCCACCCCATGAACTTTGCTTGTTGGAAACTTCTCGGGAAGATCGCAAATGGCGACCATGGGACCCTAGGACGCTGCAGATGTAGTGAATACATGCCAATTGCCAAGGGCCAAAATTTCTGATCATGTGACCTAGGGAACATTGCAGTCGTCATAAATGCAAGGACCTATTATAAGTCATCTTTTTCAGTGCCTTCATAACTTCAAATGGTCATTAAATGAATGGTTGTACGTCTTATTTTGTGAGGATTGCTAACCATACTTAGTCTGATCAATTTTTCAGTAAATTATAACAATAATAGAAAGCATGCTTTGAGGGGCTTATTTTTTCCTGACATATGAAGGGATCGCTGGGCAAATAGTGCACATGCTGTAGAAGAGGATAAGAGCGTTGGGATTGGACAGAGGAGAGTGTCCTTAAGCACTCGCGCCCAGTAAATACCTAATAGTCAATTACAAAAAAACTATATATACATACTTCTTTAACACTGATGTCTACCAGGTTATGTATTGTGATACACACAGTGACTGTTTCACAGAATTGCCTGTCATTGATTCCTATAGAACTGCAGAAAAAACATAGAACATAGAACTGCAAAAAATATAGAACATAGAACTGCAGAAAAAAAACAATTGCTACCAATCTGCCTTTCACTGAGGACCTGTATACTGCGTGAGTCAAAAAGGGGACTGTGAAAACATCTACAGACCCCTCACATCCTGGACATAAATTGGTTCAACTTCTACTCTCAAAACGATGTTATAATGCAATAATGCATTGCACACCAGAACAACTAGTCACGAGGACAGTTTTTTCCCCGAATGCCATCACAAACAACTAATTCCCACAACACCGTCAAACTATTTACTAAGACTGTATTACTATTATTTTTTTCATCCTTCCTATTACCTCTCTCCTCTTACTTATGACTATAACCTTGTTGCTTGTATCTTTACGATTTATATTGTTTTATTTAGTTTCCTAGTATGATTTTGCTTATTTAGTACCCTATGACTATCACTGAGTGTTGTATCTTACAATTCTGATGAATGTATTTTTTATGTACACTGAGAGCTTATACACTGAAGACAAATTCCTTGTGTGTGTCCAATCACACTTGGCCAATAAAGAATTCTATTTTCTTGTTGCAGCTTTTGATTAAGTAGATGAATCACTCAAAGTTCCTGCTTTGCCTTTGCAAACATCAATTCATGCATGCCTCCCCCTAGCAATGACAGCAAACCAAGTTTCTGCCTCCACCACCAAATAACATAAAGTACAAATAAAAGATTCTCCTGAGATCCTCCCGGGCTTGCTCGTATCAACCAGCATATTAAAAAGTCCCAACAAGAAGTGGGTACAGTGGGCCAAAATCCAAATCAGAATATAACCCATTCTTCTGTGGCTGGATGGATGCAGCATGTCCAGTTTCATTTTAAAAATGTGTGTGGAGGGTAATTATAAAAATTCAAAATGCTGTGTTGGATTCAGAGGCCAAGCATTAATGGCTTCAGTGCTTTATACACAATTCTCTTTTCTTCTGTATAATGAATAGGAACAACAACAAAAAACCCCACATTCAAACATGCAGTATTCAAATCATAAAACATATCCCTTTTGACACTGAACATGTTTAAAATGTTATTTTACTGCATCGTGTACAGTGGTATCTCGGTACACATTGCTAATTGGTGCGGCAAGTATTTAAAAAGGGCAAGTCCCAAACAAACGATGTGACTTATCACGTGACCCTTTGTTTCAGCTGGGAATATTTTTCTGTCTGTCCCTTTTCTTATGTCAGCGACCTTTCCAGCATGTCCGACTTCCTTCCTGTCTGTTCTCAGCAGTCATTCCCCTCTTCCTAATGCCGTACATAGAGTACTAAACAAACACCGAGTACTGGAAAATGTTTTTGCATCAAAAATGTGTCGAGTACCAAATTTGACAAGTTTTGAAGCAGTCGAGTAGTACCAAGGTGCCGTTGTCAATTTAAATGCTGCAAGTAAATCTAAAAGAGGCATGCGGAAGCAGAAATGAGAAAGCTTTTAAAACGTTGCTCCTTCAGTGGCTTTTCTGCAACTAGCAAAAATCTAGCCGGAGGCAGCCAAACAAGGAAGGTTTTTGTAAATTTGGAAAGGGGACTGGCTCTCTCTCTCTCTCTCTCTCTCTCTTTTTTTTAGGCCATTGATATGATATAGCTGGAAAGGAAGAGCAAGTGGAGAAGGAGGTTCTGAGAGGGATAAGAGCAAAAGTTAGACCTGCATATTCATTCCCATTCTCTCTCTCCCTCGTCCTCCCTTTCTCCCCCCTCTCTCTTTTCCTTATTAGAAGAAGGGATTGAAACTCTTCATAAACGGGATGTTCTTTTCATGTCTCACTATTTGGATAAGATACTAGCAAGATAGAGATTCCTTATTCCTTCCTCATTCTTGATAGTTTTAGAAGCATCTCTACATGCACACTGATGCATCTTCCTGAGATCCTCGGAAGCACAACTTCATGTCCCAGCACCCTTCAGAGCAGTAGAATGTCACGGGCTTTCATATGCTCCTACTGTAAGATCTCCCCCTCCTATTATGATATAGCCAATCTGTATTCGCTATTTTTCTAAGCTATCCTGCTCTTATCTTTTAAAATGCCCTCATTCATTCCTGCCTTTTTTAAAAAAAAGACTTTTTTAATTTTTAGACAAACATACACAAAACATAAAACCATCTTCCAGTTACATACGGTTGGTTGGTTACAAATCTTTTTGTGCATCCTCTCCATAGTCCTCACTTACAGTTTGTATAAATTCTCATATTATAAATCTAGTATATATATAGAGTATTCAGCTTTGTTCGGGTATTTTCCCACGTCATTATAGTTGTGCTTTTAAAGTTGTAGCAATGTTTTGGCAGAATCTCATCTGCCATCATCAGGCTTCTGTATAGTGTTCGTTTACAGAAGCCTGATGATGGCAGATGAGATTCTGCCGAAACGTCGCTACAACTTTAAAAGCACAACTATAATGATGTGGGAAAATACCCGAACAAAGCTGAATACCATACATATAAATACCCGCAAAAACTTAAGAAAACAAATCTAATATATATGTATACATTATTATCTTTGTTAATCATTTATTTGACTAAACTATTGTTCCATCATTTTATATGAGATATTCAAAATTTTAAGTTAATTTATATTATAACAATTCATTACAAAATCCTAAGTCCATCCAATAGTAGTACATTTTTATATTATGTTCTGTATCATTCTGTTATCCTTGTATTATAAAATTCTCTGACATATTTCATTTCCATATTTTTTGTCTAACCATTGATAAAATGAATCCCATATCTTATAAAATTGCTTATCTTCTTGTTCTCTAATTTCATATGTCAATTTACTCATTTCAGCACATTCCATTATTTTCTTAATAACTTCCTCCTGCGTTGGTATTTTCTCATTTTTCCAATTTTTAGCAGATACAATTCTAGCCGCTGTTAAATTAATTCCTGCCTTTAGGTCTTGACCAGCCCCTCCTACTTCTGACTGCATTATAGTTCTCCAAAAATGCAATTCATTTATACATACATTTTCCTGTCCCCATTACAGATTTAATACCACATATCATTGTAAAATACATAGAATTCTGTTCTATATTAATACATGGCTGAAATCCAATGTGCTCTGCACAGGGCAGGGTGGTGATGATGATGATGATCAAACCGACACAGACACAAGTATCTGAATAGTGGAATCCAAACTTTCTAGCATGATTAACTGCATTGTTACAAAACTGTGCTATAAATTAATATCCTGGCTGCTCATTCTGTGGGATGAATCACGGGCTTCAATCACATATTTCTTACTGCCTTTTCCTCTCCTTTGGCAAACAGATCAAACTCCAACACCAACACGTTTTCTGAAGAATTGTGAAGAAGTTGGTCTCTTCAATGAGTTGGCAAGCTCATTTGAACATGAATTCAAGAAAGCCTCAGAAGACGATGAGAAAAAGGCAAGAGGCAACGTTTTTTGTTCCTACTAAACTAAAACATTGAGCAACATGAGGGTCATCATCTGTATCAAGAAATGTTGCCAGCTCAGGGAGAATTTAGGTTTTGTTAGTCAAGGAGCCACACTTAACCATGGAGAGGGTGAGGGGCAACCAACAAGGCAAAGTTGGCGGTCTTTGTCATGCATGTAAAGTAGTGCTTAAAAGTATGCAAATTCTTTTTTGAGTTTTTGGTATTTCTGCATAAATATGAATTAAACATTAAATTAAATTAAAACATCTATTTTCCACACATGTCCTAAAAATAGAAAGAAAAGAAAGAAAACCCTATTAAACAAAGAAGTTGGAAACATTATACTTGTTTCTTTATTTATTGAGGAAAATGATCCAAAGCTGCATATTTGTCTGTAGCAGTGGTCCCCAACCTTTCCAGCTTTGTGGGCCAGTGGAGTGTGGGGGAGAGGGAATAGGTTCCATGCAAGCGGCGGGCACACAAATGGAGCTGCGTGCGTACTCGCCTGCCACTTCCATGGCCCAGTTTTGGACAGGCCACAGCCTGCCTGCAGCCTGGAGGTTGGGGACCTCTGGTCTATGGGGTAGATAGTTATGGGCATCCCTAGAGTGAAACGCATTGCACCTCTGCTCCAAGAGTTACATTGCCAGTTTGCTTCCAACTATATGTGAAACAGCTAGATGTGAAAAGATCACTTGAGTTTATTATCATAGTTACTAGATAGATATGCCATCTATTATAGTTATGTAGTCATTTATTAAAGTCACTAGTCACGTGGATTTTTTTAAAAAAACAATAACAGTATGCTGTGGTCATTTTCTGAGATACTGTTCCAAATTCCTAATCTACTGTAGAGCTCTGGGATTTTCTGGTGGCCTCCAGATTAGTACAAATGAGGCCCTAATCTGTTTTGCTTTCTGAAGATCAGCCAAGATCTACTGGATGCTTCCACCAGCTAGAACACTCCATCTTGGGCATTTGTTTGATTTATGATAAGATCTAAAAGAGAGGAAAAAATTGTAATGCCTCCGTGCTGCTTCAAGCTTTGCATCCCAGCCATAGCTAATGTCAGATTTCACAGAACCCCGTTAGTACAGTAATGAAAGAAATGTTGAAAAATAGATTTCATGAATTCATATTTTAAAATGAGAGTTTTTTTCCAAAGCATTGGAAAGGGATTCTTGGCTAGAACGCACATATATTTGTATTTTATTTTTCATATTTTTCTTCATTAAATCATCTGTATCTTATTCTGCTCTTGGAAGTGGTATCCAAATGCTGCTTGTTTGAGTTCACATTTTCCCTCCCTCTTTCTCTAATAAACCTTAAAACAGGGAGCATTCAAATTGAATTATTTATTAAATAAGAATTTAAAATAGGATTAGACCAGCCAGAACAAGAAACTAAGCAACCCTTGATCTCTTTATGTCTCATATTATACTTTTTAATATAAATAAACAGCCACGGGTCTCTTAATGAAATCCTTATCTTGCCTGCTAAATTGCTGCCTTGCTGTTCCCATTGAGCCATTCCTTTATGTCTGTCTGGGTTCCTTGTCTTTTAAAAAAATGTGTGGCAGCCTTGAATCTTAATTTTAGTTTTTAATTTGAAGTTTTGTTTTATAGCCAAACACTTTATGTGTTTAGACCACCCATAACCCTATTGCTGGACTTTTTAAAATAGCTACCACTGCGACTCTTAATTTGGTGGAGTTTGTCTCCCCTTCCTCCTAGTTAAATATATGACTCAGCCTTAATATTTCTAACCTCAGCAAGAGCCTGCAGCGGTTCCAAGCCCGGCTAGTTTCATGCAGGCTGAAGGAATTACTCCTCCAAGAATAGAGCTGCCTGGATTGTTAATTCCAGCTGGTTTCCTAGTTAGAAAACTTGGCGGATTTTGCCCGCCACATTCACGGGATACTTTAAACGCTTGGCTAAATCGAGTCCAGTTGCTGGTGGTAGTTTTACTTTTGCGGATGTATGTAAGTTGATTAGAGGAGAGGAGGATGTTGCTTCTTCTGGGTAGTTCCAGCTAAGAGATGTTGATGATCTTTGTAGTTGAAAAAAAAAGATTGGGGTATTTCCAGATGGATGGGTGACTCATCTCCTGGGTCAAGACGAGTCATATGGAGAAGCTCCATATTCATTCGCTCCTCAGTGCGGAGGCCTCTTTTTTTAAAACCCTGCTGCAGGCCCAGACCTTGTTTTTAGTCTTTATGCCATATGAAAAGGGCTGGAGGCACCTCTATTTTATCTTACAGCAACCCAATAAAGTAGTTTCTTCTGAAAGATAGTAGCCAGTTCGGCTGTTTCTCGGATACCTGCTGTTTCTCACAGAGAACTTGATGCTTCCTAGTAGATGTTTTCAGCAATGGTTTGTCTTCTGAATGATTCCCTAATGTGGTTCTTCCGCGGTTTATGTTTTCTGCATATCCTTGGCCTAAAAATGCTGACTGGGAATTCTGGGTGCTTTGGAGCTCCACTTCATTCAAGTGAAGCAATTTAATACTTTTAAAAAAATTGGACACGCTCCGGTTCTTTTAACTTTAGTTTCAAATCACCTCATTAAGTTGGTAGATGAGCAGAACTGAGGCATCCTCCTCCAAGAGGGTTAAATGTGATCCTCCTATTGCTAACCCTCCTATGAGATTGGCTTCATACTCTACTCTTAAAATATGTCACTCGTGGTTTGTCAGGAGTGACTAGAAATTAAGAAGCTTGTAACTACTTACAGATGTATTAGCCTGATTAATGTTAATAACTGACTTTGAGCTGCAGTACTTTGGACACCCACTTGAGTGTCATCATCCACGGTGGTGGCCATTTTCTTTTATTTCTACAGACATTTTTCAGTTACAGGATTAGTAAAGCAAATGGGAAAGTTCAGTGGTAGAACATGTGTTTTGCATGCAAACCATCAAAATGCTTTGAATCAATCAGTTTTTCAGAAAGTTAAAAGGCATTATCTAGCAGCCTTAGGGAAAAGCTCCCCTTGAATGGTGGGAAAACGCTTAAAGTTATAATGTTTCTCTAAGAAGGTGCCCTCTAGTTATATTAGGAGTGTATATCCCAGAAAAACAAGCCAAAATTAATTATAGCCGCAAAACCTCTCGAACAGTGGCCCTCAAGCTTTTGGGCACCAGGGATCGGTTTCAGGGAAAAAAAATTTTCCACAGACTGGATGGGGCTTCGCTTGTATGTGCAGCCTAATTGGTGGGATGCTACGGAGCAGTGCTGGTCCACAGACCGGGGGTTAGTGACCCCTGCTCTAGAGGGTACCTGGTTAGAGAGAATTGAACTGGAACATACTGGGCCTGTGTTAAACAAATAAGAAGCTAAAGGAGAAACAACCAGGAGATGGCAAAGTCTGAGATTCGGCATGTAATATGACAGTTTGTGTGGTCGATGACCAGGCTGAGCCAGAGGGGGAGGTCAAGCATGTCATCAGTCTGGAGTCCCATCACACCCACAAGAGATCTAAATCTAGCCCTCCTTGAATTCCGCTGACTCTTATCTACTGCCAATTTGTCTTGACCATTAGTAGTTCAGCTTCTTGTTTAGAGATGGCGTGGAATAAATTTCTACTGATTTGGTCCCTGATTTCTTGCACCTGATGGTGTGTATTACAGCACAGAAGAGGGCCCTAAAGAAACATTTAACTGAAGATTATGCACAAGAAGTAGCCAGCAGAAGACCAACGAGGCGGCAATTAGCAGATTGCTAAGCAAAGAAGGAAAGAAAGATGATCTAATTAATTGTTACCCTGGTTGCCCCTGTTGGTTTTCTTTGGTAACCACTAAAAGCAATTTTCTGCCTTGAATACATGGAAAAGTAGCTTGTTTGTGCTGACTGGCCTTTTCGCCTCCCAGCGGCTCATTATACCCTTTTTTATCACCTTGGCGAACTCCATCAAAGGCCTTGAGCAGGTATTAGGCCACTTTTGATTGCTCCAAGACTATTTAATGCGCTATTTCTCTTTCTGCTTTGCTATGCACAATGCCATTTCTTCCTGCTGTACTACGACCCGGAGATCTATGAGCACAGCAAGCTGTTGTTCACAAAAAATTGGAAAAGGCCACGCTGAGCTGTTGAAATGAAAATAGGTGTGGTGGCTAGCTGCCAGGCTCAGGCATATGGTTGGGTTTTATTACAATGGCCTAGTCATAGGTTTGTAATAAGTTACATGGCTCTCTCGTTGGCTTTTGACAAATCAAGCAATAATTCAAAAGTGACTTATATCGCGGATTCCAGCACTTCTGTGAATGAGCCCGGGGGTGGGGGTGGGATTGTGACCTGCAGGCCCTCCAGCTTTATTTTTATATTTGCAAAGTTTTACAGGAAAAAAGGGTTGCCTGTATAATGCTATGTACACAGTCTCCAAAATACCGCCTTTCTGGTTTAATAAGCTATTAGGGTCTGAGCAATTTAAGACAGACATCTAACCTGACATTCATGTGAAGAAGAGTAGCAGGTGTCCTTGGTGGGGGCAAATTGCTGTTTGTATAATCTGCATTGCACTGTTTCAGCCCAGGGATTGTAAGAGCATCCTCGACAGTCGTCTTTAGTAAATACAATGCGTGGAACAGCCCAGTGCACATACTCTGGAGAGAAGTTCCCTAATGACAGGCTCCAGCACGATCCTGAAAGCTCAGAAGAATAAACCTTTGGTCCCGGTGACTGACTCAGATTAGATCCTGCAGTCTTTAGTATATCATTAGCTTTTCTGGACCAAAAAGCTGATGTTAGCATCAGAAAACCAGGATAATTGAGCTGTGGTGGCGCAGTGGTTAGAGTGCAGTACTGCAGGCTACTTCTGCTGACTGCCAGCTGACTGCAGTTTGGCAGATCGAATCCCACCGGGCTCAAGGTTGATTCAGCCTTCCATCCTTCTGAGATTGGTAAAATGAGGACCCAGATTGTTGGGGGCAATAGGCTGAACCGCTTAGAAAGGGCTGTAAAAGCACTGTGAAGCGGTATATAAGTTTAAGTGTTATTGCTGTTGCCATAAAAAGTGTCACAAGCATTGGTAGTCATGTTTCTAGGCTTTACTAACTAAGTTCGTGAGTGGTGGGCATGCAGAAACCTGCAAAGCACATCACAGGAGCTTTGGGCACTGTATTAAAACATGTATTTTGTGTTTCCACAGTGTTCTGGTCCTCTAGATATGTCTCTTCCCTCTACCCCAGACGTCAAAATCAAAGAGGAAGAGCCTGTTGAAGTGGATTCTTCTCCTCCAGACAGCCCAGTAGAGAGTCCACAGTCACCACAGCCTAAGGAGAAGGTGAGCTTTCAGGAAGTACAGGTAGTCCTCGAGTTATGGCCACAACATTTATGTTGCTAAGTGAGACGTTCGAGAAAGTGAGTTATGCCCCATTTCACGATTTTTCTCGCCACAGTTGCTAAATTAGAAAAACCGTTGTTAAGTGAATCTGGCTTTCCCATTGATTTTTGCTTGGCAGAAGGTCACAAAAGGAGACATCACAGGACCCTGGGACACTGCAACCATCATAAATATGAACCAGTTGTTAAGGATCTGAATGTAAATCATGTGTCCATGGGGATGCTGTGGCGGTCGTAAGTGTTAAAAACGGTCATAAGTCACTTTTTTCAGTGCCATTGTAACTTTGAATGATCACTAAATGAACTGCTGTAAGTCGAGGACTACCTGCATTATTTTAATCTGCTTTTAATGGCTTTTGCTCGTTCTGAAAAAGATGCCCTCTGTATAAGAACAAAAGCAAAACTAGCTGTCTTTTTATTTCTGATAATAGTAACATAGAGGCAAGAGATTCAGAAGTATTAGTCAATTTAATCCTATAAACCCGAGTTTCCTGCTGGACTTGCTACCCATTTTCTGATTCTTTGCTGGGTGTAAGAACTGGCGCAGTTCCATGCCAGGGACAGATGCATGAAAACTGCTGAAACAATTTAAATTATCACCACCCCAGTGTTTTCTCTGTGCACTCGTTTCTTGGCTTCATGTCTGCTGGCAACTCCACATTCCTAGTGATGGATCTCAACCAAATCATAAAGCAGGAAAGAGCTCAGAAGAATGAAATGAAATTTATGGAAACGTGGCTTATCACTGCTCTTGGAAGTTCTTGCTACTAAAAAAAACGCATTGGGATTGGATTTTAATTTTAATGAACATCTATTTGCATTCCAGATAGTTCCTATATTTCGCTCAGAGTTTCAATTGCCTATTATCATCTACCTGCAGATCACATTAATCCATGCTTTCCATTCTATTGTACTACTTTGTGAGGGACCTGATAGGGTTTACATGATATTAAATCCCAAACTATTTTTTTGGTACAAAACTACAAAATGCTATTAATAAATCTGTTTGACTCATTTCTTAAATCAAGCAATCCTTGTAATAATTATCCTGATTATAATGAAACTGAGTGCTGTAGATTCCTGGTTTGAGATTTGGACCTTTTGTCTTTAGATAAAATTGGGATTTTTGAAACTACATTCATGTAATACTTATAGACCTCATCCCTGTTAGTTATTTGGAGTTAGCAGAGTGTTCTTTGTTCTGCCTTAAGGAAGAGGGATGTTTTTGTATTTTTATGCCATGTTTGTATGTTTCCATCAATTATAATTAGTAATATGATATATAATGTAATTTGGTAATCAGTAAGATAATAAAGCTGTAAAAATTTACAGCATTACAAAAGGGTGACGGTGGTGGGAATCTGGCACTGACTGTCTGCATTTCTCTTAGGAGAGCGCTTCAAAACCTATTATCATTTCTACACCTACTCCAACTATTGTACGTCCTGGATCTCTGCCACTGCACTTGGGATATGACCCCCTACATCCAACTCTCCCTTCTCCAACCTCAGTCATCACCCAGGCTCCACCTTCCAACAGGCAGCTCGGGTAAGTAGAAACTTTAAGGGAAGAGAAAGCATCCTAAGCAGATTAGAATTGAGCATTTTATCAGGTAGAATTTTCTCCTGAAGTGTTCTGGTATCAAATCTTATATGGTATGGCAGTGGAATATATAATTGCCCAGGAATAGCCATGAGGGAAGAAAACATGTCCTAAGATATAGTTTCGTCATAGTTAAATTCTTTTATTATTGCCATTCCAGTTAGATTTTGAAATGGATTGGGAGAAGAAGCAGGCTTTAGTTACATATAGTCCTTGCTTAGCGACTGCCATGTTTAGCAGCCACTCACATTCATGACGGGGATGAAAAAGTAACTTGGCAACGGGTCCTCATATTTATAACCTTTACAGATCTGTAAAGGGAAAAAAATGAAGGTCATAAAATCATGAAGTTTCCCTTAGCAACCACTTTGCTTAATGACCCGGTTGCTGAATGAGAAGTACTGTATTCGTTTAGAACCAACTGTGGCTTTGCGAGCCATGTTTACTCTGTCAATTTAGTTAGCAGTTAAAAAGTTAGATTAAGAAATCAGTTTGTTGTCCATTGGTTAGAGCACCATGGAGAATTTGGATGGGACCCATGAATCAAAGAGAACCATGTGCAACCAGGGTTTGCTGGAGAGAGAGTTCCCTCGCCTGCCAATTGGACTGAAGTTTGTTTGACGCGTTTTCTTTTTGCTTGAAATCTTTTCCAGGTCTCCTACCAGTTCTGTACCACTTGTCATGCACCTTGTGAATGGACAGACTATGCCGGTCCTTCCTGGCCCACCCGTTCAGATGCCTTCTGTCATATCGGTAATGAAAGTTTCCAGCATGGCTGATTTTGATAAAGGAAGGGACAGCTTTTTCCCTTTGCAGAGCATATGGGGCACTTTAATTTGCAAAAATTGACATCTCCCTCTACTTCTCTGCATGAGATAAGCCTGTGTTGGAGTAGAGGACATAGGGGTGGTGAGAGCCACTGCCTGTGAGGGTAGCAGTGCCTGCCAACCAAGTCATTGGTCAGGAAGGCTCAGGCTGAATCCTTGTATGAACAGATGGCCGGCCCTGTTGGTTCTGGGGCTGGGAATGGCAGGCTTTCTGATTAGCTAGCTTTGTGCTTGAAACCATTCAAGCTTGCAGAGAACATGTCGGCTTTTCCAAGCCAGGAAAAACTCCCTCCCTGGCCTCTTCGGGGCATGAAATGGTTATTTAGCTTTTATTTCTGCATATGGATTTGACAAACATGAGCACCTTCTGGTGCATCTTGTATTATTTCTGATATTGCATTCAAATCAAGTGTCTGCTTCTTTGTGCGGTAAATTTTCATTGACTTTTAAGTGTTTGGAAAGTTTCTGCCACAATGGAAATAGGTCGACTCCAATAAATTGGGAAGACTAATTTGTTAGGACAGCAGAAGACATCTCTCTGTGTACCTAGTGTGGAGGTTTTCAAATGACTGCCTTTTCTCCAGGTGTATCAGTAATACTGCATGAATTCTACTTAGCTTACATAGCATCCTCCCTCTCCAATTGCTGTGAAAGTGAACAATATCATAAAATGACGGTAAAACTGCAAAGAACCTTACAGGGGATAACAAATTGGTCAGAAGTTTTCCTCCTTATGATAAAAACATAATTCTGAGTCTGCCTTTCCTCTAAACATTTCTGGCTTCTGCACTTTGTTTTTGAATTATTTTTGTCCCTTCCACAACCTGAAAAAGTTATCTGAAAGACGACAATAGCCTTGAATATTGCTCAGTGATGTGTTCCGCCCCCTCTAATTCAAGACCAAATGTTTAATCATGATGGATCCCCAAGTGCCTTTGTTCTAAAAAAAATTATGTGGGCCTAGTTACCTGGAACCAGAATCTTCCTTGTGATTGGCAGATTGCCAGCAACCCCCAATTTCAAGATACAAATTGTTATGCTACAGTTTTTAGGTGACTGTTGAGAAGTTGCACACGGATACCTGAAAGCAAACAAGGATATTTGGGACAATATTTTTTTTTTAAAGAGAGAGTATTTGGCTATTGTAGCCAAATGGAATGGTTCAGAGAAAGTGAACTGGCCAGCAATTTTCCTGCCTCCTGTTTCTTCTTCTTTTCAGTCTGGTTAAGTGGTTGAAAATTTGTGGATTTTATGTGAACACCAATGGTGGGATTTTTGTGAGGCATTTTTTTTTTCTTTTGAGTGTGTTCTAAGTAAAAAAAGAAAACCTAAGATGCTTCTTCTTCCTCCTCCTCCTCCTCCTCCAATATATAGCTGGCAAGGCCGATGCCTATGGTGCCAAACATTCCTGGTATTCCTGGTCCCCCGGTTATCAGCAGTGGCTCAATTTCACCATCAGGCTTTCCAGGACACTCTGAAGCTAAAATGGTGAGCTCCTTATTCTACTTCACTGTTCACAAGATGGCACCTTTTAAAGAATCAAATGAGAGAGATGTATGCATCAAGATGCATTGTAGATTTCAAAAACATTTTTTCTATCATTCTAGTCTTGAAGGCATGGCTGGCTGGGATATTATTCTGGGAGTTGAAGTCCACACAACTTAAAAGTTGAGAAAACACCGCTGTAAAGAAACTTCATCTTGTAAAAATGTATTAGATTGTTGTATCATTTTTCAGAAATCTGGCTTAGTCCCCTTTGCCATCACCGCTTGCACAATTTACAGACAAAGTACTAGTTCCAAAACTGCTAAAGCTCACAGTGGGTTTTTTTTTTCTTTTGAGTTGTATTCCCATGCCAAATACAATAAATTTGTTTTTGAAATTCCTCTCAGATTCAAAAGCAACTTGGTGTATGACAGTCTTCCCAACTTCGAGCTTTCCAAATACGTTGGAATTGCAAACCCCAAAATTCCCATCCACGGAGGCTGATATATGGCAGTAGAAGAGGAGATATTCAGCCAAAACCACTTGTAAAATCCTTTTTAGCATATAAAACTAATGCAGAGTCCTTTGAATTCTGGCTTGGTGTTACAAAGACTACAGCCACAAAAGTATAGACATGTCCAAATACAGCATATTAAGAGTAGATATTAACTTTCATCTGAGCAAATATCGCACAAATGTAAGAAAAACAGTTCCTGTACTTTTTCAGGCTAGACAGCCTTTACACCAACATAATATTTTATTTTATCTTACAGGCATATCCTCATGATAGTTTTATAATCTCTCTCTTTTAACTGTCTTACATATGACCAAGTTATTTTGAGTCTAACACACGCATTCCTTGGAAGGAAAATGAAGTAAAATGTAATAAAAAACCCAGTGTTTTACTAGAAAAATTCAGCTGTCTGAACATTTTATGATGACTTATTTCTTAATTGTATGGGAAAGGAAGAATTCCTGTTTAAACATTCCATATTAATTAGAGCTTCTCCACAAAAAAGTTCAAAGTTCAAACCTTTATTGGCAACGCACAACATTTGTACAATAATATTGAATGACCCTCCATTGGTGCAGGCCACACAAAACACAGAATACATCTCATTAATAACAGAAAATCCCCAAACCCAAGTACACACACACACACACACACACACACACCATCGGTATAGACATATTGCTTGTTATACTTGCGCTGTAAGTCTGTCATATTAAATCAGCCTATTTGTCCGGCTGGCTGTGCTCCTATATCTCCTGCCCGATGGTAGGAGAATAAAGAAATGCTGTCCAGGGTGTGGATCGTCCCTCAGGATTTTCCTCATTCTCCTGAGACAGCAGGACCTGACGATTTCATCCAGTGGGGTTAGGGGGCACCCTCTGTAGGGCCTTCCTGTCCTTGGCTGTTAAGGACATAATATATGAGGACACTTTCTATCGTAGACCGGTAGGAGGAAGTCATCAATCATTGTTCCACCTGATTTTTCCGCAAGACCCTAAGGAAATGGAATCTCTGTTAAGCCTTTCAAACCACCTGGAACATGATATTTTTCCAGGTGAGGTCTTGGCTGAAGTGCACTCCCAGGAATTTGAAAGAGGAAACCCTCTCCACACAGCCCCCCCTTGATATAAAGTAGGGCAGGCTCCTCTCTCTGCTTCCGGAAATCCAACACCATCTCCTTTGTCTGAGATTTTTCAGATTTCCTTAGCAAAAAGAATTCCCAGTCACGTGTGAAGTGTTTACATCCATTAATCCAAGTTTTTATTTTTCTTCTAGGAACATAAATGTGAACCTCTAGTTAACAGCATGTCAGGTTTACTGCCCCTTGTCTTCAACAGACTGCCTCTTTTGAGCAAACTCCAAATATGTGTTAAAAACATCAACAATAGCAATAGTACTTAGACTCATATACAACTTCACAGTGCTTTACAGCCCTCTCTAAGCAGTTTATAGAGTTAGCATGTTGCCCCCAACAATCTGGGTCCTCACTTTACCGACCTCAGAAGGATGGAAGGCTGAATCAACCTTGAGCCAGTCAGGATTGAATTCCTGGCTGTGAGGAGAGTTAGCTTGCGATGCTATGTTTTAGCCACTGTGCCATCTCAACAAGCAGAAAGTCGGGCTTCTCCTAGTGTTTGTTTTGTCTTCATCCCATGCAGAGGTTAAAAGCCAGCCTGACGCAAGGAGTTACTTCCTCACTGAACGGCAGCAGCATGATGGTGGGATCAGCGAGCACAATGGTGACTTCCCATCCTGAACAGGGTCAGATACTTATCCAGCACCCTGATGCACCTTCTCCAGCCCAGCCGCAGGTTGGTTAAGTGCCAAATTGGGTTAAGTAAAGATTCAGGAAACAGAAGTGAGACTACAATACAATCTCGTCCTTCCTCAGCTGGCAGGCGCATCTGCCAAAAGAAAGAGCCCAAATTTAGGAAAGCTGCCGTGGAAATTTGTAAAGGCATTTGCTAGACTGTATGAAATTTAATTAAAACCCAACAGCTACTATTTGGAGCCAGATTTTTATTTAAAAGAAAAATGTACTGGTCCTTGTGAGTAAAAGGGGAATGGGGAACTTCTAAATAGAGGCTTCGGCTAACTATGGTATTAGAGAGAGTATGATGGGTGGCATGGCATAATATGCTATGGAATGCACACTTTTTATTCGTATTTTTTAAGATCAAATGTGAATGTAAGATTTTGAGCCATTATTAAAACAAGAATGACCTGATGATAATGAACTCTCTTATGCAATAATATAGTCATTTCTGGAGAAGGGAAGGAAAACCGTCATCAGCTTCCAGCAGTCTTTTAGTTATCTGGGAATAAATGCTACTTAATTGTGGATTTCTCTCTTCCCTTATGTTCCTGTACATCTTTCTGTAGTCTTTCCCCATTTCCTTATAGAACCAACTCTCCTTTTTGCAGTTTCTGAAAAAACTACCGTGCTTTAGAACAAACTTTAAATGTTGCAAATGAAAATAAGCTTGAACATTCAGCATATTGTTTTTCCTTGTTGCCAAATTTCAGCTTTCTAGTTGCAGGATGTGCCAGGTTTAGGCACTCAGTTTCTAATTCCCTGAGCAGGTTTAGGCACTGAGTTTCTAATTCCCTGAGCAGGTGATTAGACTAGGGTGAGCATCCATTGCTTCTGTCAGCATTGATACCAGATGTTTATCACTGAGATACAACAGCAATGGGAACAGAGTCAGAAACGGGGACAGAGTCAGAAACAGAGAAGCAATGTTTGCAAATCTTCTCTCCCCGTCTCTCTTCCTGTCTTAATTACTTGAGTTTAAATGCACTCCATTTGGTCCTGCCAGCTTACCAAATGCCAGCCTTCCATCACAATTACCACCTGCTCTGTCAGTTAGAGCTTCCAGAAGTTTACTGTCCATATGTTGCCTGACTAACAGCGAGTATAGAGAAGTGGAAACTGTCTGTCTAATTATAGGGCCCATTTGGGGAGGCTGAGCTAAGGTGGGAACCTGCAAATTTGTTTTTGCTTTTGGCAGTTATTTCCATTTGGCTACTTAAAAATAAAAAGGATTTCAGTCACTATTACAGCGTTGCTTCTACCACACAAGCATCTCATTGCAAAAATAATATAGATGCTTGAACAGACACAAGGGAAAAGAGAAGTTTTTTTAAAAAAAATTAAATTGATAAAAGGATGCAAAATCAAATAATGACCGAATATTCCAAGTTGCTTGCAGATAAATGCACAGCAATTGACATCTGTGCGTTTTGTACATCTATTTTACAAATAGACTATTGGGAACCAGACAAATCAGAAGAAAGTGTTATTTATTGTTTGTTCATTAAAAGATTGTAGTTATTACTTTTTATTCTCAGAGAAAATATCAGAACAGTTTACAGAAAAATACCATGCAAAATATAAAAAGCAATCAAGAAGAAAAAGGCAAACATTAAACAGTAAAGTTACGGCAGTGCTAATAACCCCAAAAATTGATTGGGCATGTTCTTTGCTCCTTATAAGTATATATGACTGCGGAGTTCTTAATAGAAGGTGGACCTCTTCAGATAATGGCTGAACTGCAACTTTCAGCAGTTCTAGCCAGCATGAGCAATGGCAAGAAATGCAGGGTGGTGTAGTTTAATAACACCAGAAAGCCACAAGTTCCTCCTCTTTTTGTTTGAACAGCCTGCCCCATCTTCTGTATAAAAAGCCTGCCCACCTATCTGTCCTTCGTCCTCAGGTTTCCCCAGCTCAACCCACACCAAGTACAGGTGGCCGACGGAGACGCACAGCAGATGAAGATCCAGACGAACGCAGGCAGCGTTTCTTGGAGCGAAACCGTGCTGCTGCCTCCCGCTGCCGCCAGAAACGCAAGCTCTGGGTGTCATCCTTGGAAAAGAAAGCAGAAGAGCTCACCACACAGAACATCCAACTCAGTGTAAGTAGGCTTGCCAGCATGCCTAAAGTATGATAAATGTACCCCTAATATCACATCTATCCTTGCTTTATTTTCAAGGCCATCATCCTCTAGGGTACTTATGTGAGATCTATAGTTCATAAATTTGTTCCTAGCCGATACAATCTGAAATTATGGGACCTGAATGTAGCGTGGAGGTGATTTTTATACTCTGAGACCTTCATTGCTTATCTTTGAAGATCCTGACATTGAGTAGGTATTCTTGGTCTTGGCTGTCTACCATCTGGAGGAGCTTTCCTTGCCGGGAGTTGGGGGGAGATTTGAGGTCTCTGTGAAATAATGCATTCTACTAACACACACTTTCTGAGACTATAGATCCCTCATTTAAATTATAGGTTCTTGTGGGAATGGACATTTTGTGGAACAGACATTAGGGCCTCAGTCATTTTTATTTCTTGTTACTCGTCGGTGTAGACTTTTTCAGAAAATCTTACAACTCAATTCCAATCTTACTGCGGCAGATCTGTTTACTCACCCTTTGACAAGGATAATTCATAGTCCTCCTCTTCTTTTTCTTTGTTCCCATCACCTATAAATAATACATCATTATTAATATATTGTTATCATTTCAAAATATCCTAACGTGAAGCTTTCTGTTATTATTCTTATAAGTAAGAAAGACATGTTAACTTTTATGTGGTCTAAATGCATAAAGAGAACCTTTTCATGCTTTCCATCTGTCTCTTAACATTGGAAGCTTCGTTTCTTCTCTTGTCTGCTGTGGAACCTTGGCCTGATTTGGTGCATTGCTGGTGCTAGATTGTGAGCCAAGCTATTTGCGCTGCTATGAATTTTTTGGTTTGCTTTTTACTACCCTGCTGCTTAACTTATTCTGAAGCTTAATAGAAATTTCCTGCCTTTGAGGAAAAAGAATTGAGCCTTCTGGTTCTTGGGCCTAAGCCAGCAGGGATAGTTCTGTCTTAGAGGGAGAAACTGAAGTTCAGTGTAATCTCCCTTTCAGTGGTAATAAAAAGAATGTTAATACACTTGAGTTATTTCCATATGTGCCCTTGCATGGTGCTCCCACCATTTTTGAGAGACTTACACAAAGAATGCAACTAAGCAAGTCTACCACGACATGGTTCATCAGCTTCAACTCCAGTATTAAAACAGGCTGCTACCTGCATTCTCCATAAGCAGCCTCTGTCTGCTAGAAACCAAAAATAGCTCCAGCATTCCATGAAGCTAGTATGCTAAGAAAGGTAAACCTGGAAGATGGGCTTGTTTGGCCTTTGTGATTTTTCAGCATCTTTTTTGTAAAACCCTTCCAGGTACCTTGCATCAGCCCTGCAGTTTCCACTTTATATTGCATTGGTGGAAACGATACTGCCTAAGTGTGTGTGCTTGTGTACAAGTGCGCACGTGCATTACATTTAGCCTGACTTACTTCAAAAGATTTTCAGAATTAAAACATCTTTTATTTCAAGGTTTCTTAGATTAGAATCTCCTTTCTTCACTACCAGGTTTCCAAATTGGCCTTTTCAAAAATATCCCAATAGCAAAAGACACCATTTAGGCATAGGATTGAGCCATAGGATCATAACAATTTTAATGCTAAAAAGAGGGGCATGACGAATGAAGCATTCCCTAGGCTAAGTAATGAGTAAAAAGTGCTGGCTGAAACCCATCATCCATAAATTCCTTCATATTTATGTTGTACCTCTGATTGTTCTGTCACTGTTTCAAATTAACACTTAACAAGATTCAAGATTGGATATTGAACCAACGCAATGAGACTAAATGTTTCCTTTCTCATAGAATGAAGTTACATTATTAAGGAATGAAGTTGCGCAACTCAAACAACTATTGTTGGCTCACAAGGACTGTCCTGTCACTGCATTACAGAAGAAAACACAAGGTTATCTTGGTAAGCAGAATCTTATAAATATTCAAGCAGAGCAACAAAAAAAAAAAACACCTGATGATGTCACCTAGTTTGGGTAATGAAACATCTGCAAAAAAAGCAACCAAGCTCAGAGAACACCAAGGATCTCAATTTCAACCCTGGGTTACTAGCATTCTCTTTTATCGAGGTCAGATAGAGATTTTAGAATTTCAGCATTTTATGAAACAGCATTTTGGAATCAGTCAAAATTTAGAAAGCATTCTGTAATTGAAGAGTTGTGAATATTACAAGAACACCAACTCTGACCTAAGCTATTCCAAAACTGTTGGGGATAGAACACCCCAGTTATTATGGCCAGTTCTTCCGTTGGATGATTGGATGGGTTAGTCCATATTATCTCAAGAACACTCAGTTGAAAAAGATTCTACTACATTTGCAGCTATAAAACAAAACCTATTTCCCCCCAAAGGCTGCTTTTTTTCCAGTGCTGTAAAACTGTATTTTTTTTCCTTTTCCTCTTCAATTCTTAAAGTTCACATTATAAGGCGTAGCTGTAGGGAAAAACATTCAATTGGCACCTAAATAATGCCAGTAAATTCTTCTCTTATGCACATTCACTCCAAAGCAGTTTTATTATTGAGATGTGTGGCTGATTTGTTTTTTAATCGAAGAAACCAGAATTGGCTGACTCTTGACAACAATAAACTATGGTTTATCGAATACAGGTGGCTGGATTCACATAATAGGCTATGTAAAACGAAAGTCTATGATCATGGTTTCAGTGTATCCAACACAAGATTATACAAATACTTTTGATTAGCATCAGAATGAGTTGTATTTTCAGGCTTGTTAAGTCTGTAATGAAGCTGAATTTTTGTACAGAGAATATTGTGGCCAAAAAGAGCAACTCAGTTGAGAAAATGTAACTGGTGAGAACTAGCAGAATAATAGTTGCCGAAGCATGTTCTGTAGAAGTCTGTAAAGCCAAGCCCAATCATTAATATTATTTTCTTTTTCCCTTTTCTTGAAAAATCAGAAAGCCCCAAAGAGAGTTCTGAGCCCACCGGTTCTCCAGCTCCTGTCATCCAGCACAGTTCGGTGACTGCATCTCCCAATGGGCTGAACGTCCGCTCTGCAGCTGAAGCCGTTGCCACTTCAGTCCTCACTCAGATGGCCAACCAAAGGACAGAACTAAACATGCCCATGCAGTCACATGTCATTATGGCGCCGCACTCCCAGTCTGCTGGCAGATGATGTCGCCAGTTGCATGGCATAGAACTAACCAATGAACTGCAGCCAGAGAGACTGATCATAACTAAGCCCCTTGTTCAAAATGGGGTGGATACAGTTTTTGTTTTGTTCATTTTGTTCATTATTATTTTGATTTCTTAAAAATGAGTGAAGGGCAGCTATGGAGCTTCTAACAAAGTATATCTCACATAGGTCCTGGCCTCAAACATCTATCCTAGGGCCATCGTCTTTCCGGAGGGTGGCTTTGGAAAAAGTCATTTTGCCACACTTTAGAGACCATTTCTCACCCTATCTAGAATCAACCATTTGGATAGCCTTATACAGTGTGATCTTAAATGGTATGCAGGTATACATTGTGCTAACACTAAGCCTCCCTTAGTTTGGTTATTCATGGTGCTTCTTTGTCTTGGCTACTATAGCAAGAGAAAGCAGTTCTTGGGAGGTGCTGTGATGTTTTGCTGGTGCTGGCCATTTTTGTGGAAAACTTTAGCATCCTGACTGTTTTTGTAGCATATCCATCAACATGGTACCTGGCCTTCCATTCTACACTTTCACACAGGATACCAGCTCGTGGCTCTGAAGGTGGTAAGCTCCATAATTTGGTCGGTTTGAACTGTTCAAATTGTTTTGTGAAGAGAGTAAGAAACCTTCACTCTTAGCTGCTGCAACTGACGGGTGATTTTGCTGTTCTGGAAGAGAAAATGGCAGGCCTGTTGTATGCATTGTAGATCACATAATTTGTACTATGCATATTATCAGGGATACATTTTTTTGGTCATGTTGTTATCTGATACAAACTTTCATTCTTGTAGTTCAAGAGGAAGCCTTCAAAACACAATGGGAATTCTTTTATTTTTTTAGGTTACCGGGGGGTGGGGGGAGCTAAGGCGTATTTCAATAACGAGAAGGAAGAACATTCACAAGGGCACCTCTTACTGCAGGGGTGTCAAACTCATGTCGTCACAGCAGTGTCACGTGATGTATCGGGACTTTTTCTCCCTTTGTTAAACCGGGCATGGGCGTGGCCAACACATGACGCATCCGGCCCGCAGACCGGGAGTTTGATAGCCCTGCTTTATTGTGTCTAGGGGAAAAAATAGAATAATTCATACCAGTGTTTCTCAACCTTGTCAACTTTAAGATGCCTGGACTTTTAGTAGTTGCAGAATCATAAGCATTACAGTAGCAGGTTCAAAGTTACACAGTGCTAAGCTACAGGATGTAGCTAAACAAAGTTGTTTGGGGACAACATAAGAGTTAACTCAATGGCAAAGAAGCAGGAGAAAGTATTTCTGTTTGCAAATGCTAAAGATTCAGTACTCTTATAAGCCATGTTCATTTCAAAAGCTAAGCTGATACGTTTAACCAGTGAGCTTTTCAAGATTGTGGCCTTAAATCATGGACTATTTCAAAGACAAAGAGGATGGGAACAAACATTCCAAATTGCTTCCCCTCTTACTATTTTTTTTTTTTTTTGGTCAAAGGTTTTCCATTCTATTTCTCCTTCAGATGATGTCACCTATTGTCTTTTTCCATCTGTCTCTTCCAAAATAAATACCAAGTTTCTTGCACATTGCTATCATAGGGTAGATTGAAAACAAAAAAGAAGAATTGGAAGTAATCTCTCCCTTTTTCTTCTGCTTCTTGTCAAAGTGTGCGCATGTGCATCTTGGACTGACCTTGACCTCTTGCTAGTTGGCCAATGTTTAGCTTGAATCACAACCAGAGGAAAAGGTGCAGAGTGGTAGTTAGAGTGTAGCTATGCAACTTGCCAACTCTTCCACTATTTTGTCTTCCTAATTATGTGTCTTTTGTTTAAATAAAACATTGTCCTCAAAGGGGCTGTGTACTGTGTGCTGCCAGTCTATACAAAAAAAATTATTATTCCTCAGTTTCCACCCAATAGAAAGCACACATATAATACACACACAAATGCACATGTCTATGTATGTATGTGTAATTGTATATGTGGCATGCTAAACTTAATGCAGGTTTTCTGTTATTGGTGTTGCTTTCATCACGATCAATCCAGCTTCTCAGGACCTTAATGTCACTTGCTCTCCCAACTGTTTCCTTGTCTGAATATGATGCTGTTGCTTCTTGTTCTGTTCTTCTGTGACAAAATGTGTTTTGAATTTCTGCAGACTTCCTTTTAACAAGCATTTCAGACCTCCTGTCACTTGTCTTTTTCCTCCTCCTCCCCCCCCTCTTTTCCTTGTTCCCTTGATATGCTAAAAATGCAAGTTTGGCAAGGGCTTTGAAGTATAACTTGTCCCAACAGGGTATCTGTTTCCTTAGTGACAGCTCCAATAACAGTGCACAGCAGGTGTAGCCAGGATCTTCTCAGGTTAATAGGACAAGAAATGAGCTTGCTGGCAAGTGGGACAGATGATAAGGTATTTTAGTTTTCTTTTTTTTTTAATTTATGTTACTTTTTTGTACCTTTAGAAACATAACTGTGCTGCGTTCTTTCATTTAAAAAAGAACACTTCAGAATTCTGCTTGTTGTTGAATGAATGCAATGCAGGTCTAGAGAAAGGACTGTAGAATTTTGGTTTCTCATATTTTCCATTGAAAAGTAAGGGCTCACAATAGCATTGAATTTACTATCTGGGACCTAGATTCTCATTGAGAACGAGTGCTTTGCTATGAGAAAGAACAAATGAAGCTGTCAGTTGCACTATTGGCCAACCTAATTCAACACTATCCTTGCTAACATTGTGGGAATGGTAAGAAACCTGGAAAGGAAGTATGAATGTATCAACATTTGCAAGTGAGTGATAGGTAGAGACTTGCCAAAGGGAGGTTAAATTTTGGGTGGATTTCCTTCCGTAGTTCAAAATGACACCAAAAGATAGGTATGGCCCAGCATTGTTCTTTCTCAGTGAATATATAGTTCCCTCCAAGAGTTGTATAGTTGAGACACAGAGCATGACTCAGTAAACCCTAATAATTCAGAGCTGTGGCTTAAGAATAATCCTCAAACTTAAAGAAGGTCTTTCTTTATTTGGGGCTGTGAGATAAAAACCCCAAATCTTTCTCTTAGATGGGAACCTTGTTTTAGAGCAATTGGCAATTTTGCCTGGAACTTTCTATATGAAAATCAGTTGGTCTTTAATATGCTATAATCTCTCTCCTAATTGGACGTGAGGCCGCTTTAGTTACTTCTAGGCAGGGACGTAGAGCATACTCCCTCAACTTGGCACTCTCTGGAAGGGCTGGATGGGATCAAGACTGCAACTCTCCTTGTAACGGACAAAGGAGAATATTTGTAGCTCAGGGTTGAAACAAGGAGTCCTTGATGCTCCTTGAACTAGACTGTTTTCTTGCAGAGAGCACCAAGGACCCTTGGCTATCTTGGCTGGAATGATGGGAGTTGTGATCCATCACATTTGAATATGCCAAGCTGAGGAAGGATGATCATTATTAAAGATCATGTGACGTTGGGGTGGCCTTCCCTCTGCCTTAGTTCGTGATCTGTGCTGCTTGCTATTCAGTCATTGTCACTCAGCCTGGTTCACTTAATTCTGTTGCAGAGTAGACAAATGTTGAATCTTCCAGTCAGTGTGAGAGCTGTGCTCAGGCTCTGAGACAGTAAGAAGAAGTGACCTTAACACTCCAGGAACAGGTAAGAGGGCTTGTGGAAAGGACCTGATTTGATGGGTCTGGTAGAATGCGCAAGCTGCTTCTTATGGGGGACCTACTGTGGTTCAAAATCAAGGAGTATAATATAAAAGAGCTTTCATAAAAAGCGTCTCATTCCATTAGCCTACCCTAAAAGAACATGACTGCAGCCCTGTTCCAGGAGTTCCCTGCCTCAGTGCTCCAGTACTTTGGAATAAGAAGGGAGTGTAGCAAACAAAAGCACGCATAGTATAGGCCAAGGGGACATTCTTATGCACCCCTGGGAACTCCTGCTAAAACTGGATAAATTCCACTCTTCTGTTAGATTAAGCCAATCAGCCAGCCAGAGTCTCCGCGTGACAAAATGGGCGGCAGATAAATTTAATAAATGAAGAAATAGATTAAAGTATCATGCTGTTAGAGATGGAGAAATGTTTGAGGGGAGGGCCTCAATAAAATTAGAAACCATATCCACCTTGTCTATTGGACTCTGCTGTATCCTCAACCAAAAATTGCCCAGCCTAGTACAAATAGAGCCTGTGAACAGAATTGAAATTATTTTATCATTATTATTTTTTAAAGTATTTGAAGGAAATAATTTCTCTTATAGCATTTTAAAATTAAACTCTGCTTTGCTATCCCCTTTTCCATGTACTTGCATGTGGATTGTAACAGTTCCCTTAATACGATTCTGTGCTCCTAGCAATTATTAAAAATGAAGCCACATTCTGCATGTTGCTTTAGTTCCTGGTATTCAATACCTGTAGTTCCGGAGTTACAAAATTTGGGCTGTATAAATAACTTCTGCTGCATGGAATCACAGTAAGAGGAGGTTCTTATAAGGCCACTGAGTTATGTGAAGCATTGGTTAGACTGTGATCATTCCTCTATATGTAGCTGACACATTGGTTGTCAGAAAGCTTTAATAAACATATTAAAACTCATAACATCAGCAATTGGGTTTGTAGCAAGGATCTCTCTAGTCAACTTCAGATGATGGCCAAGTTGTTGTCTAAAAATATTTTCTTTCAAGTAAGCAAAGAATTCTTGAGATTGAGAGCGGGGTAAGGTGTGATCCTGTCAAGTAGTCTTCTAGCTTGGAGAAAATATTAGCTGTGCATGGTATGCTAAGGCTGATCTACATATTCTAGAGCAATGAGTCTCATTTTATTTCAGCTTATTTTCTGATTGTACCAAGGAAGTGCATTCTGGGCTCAATCCCATATTTATAAGAAATTACTATTCTAAGTGTGTACCCTTCCAATCTGCCAATTGACCAGGGGCCACATGTCTGTTACTGAACCCTTTAACAAAATGTGCCTTGTAGCAAAGAAAGCAATCTGGGAAACCATACATAATTATAAATACATACATACATACATACACACACACATACATACACATGCACACACACACACACATATACACACACAAGAGAGAGAGAGTTTAGTACAGCCACCTGTGCTACTGCAGTGCTACTATTTTATGTGCAAAAAGTTTCTTCTATGAGAGGAAGATGTACCATAATCTTCTATAAGTACAGAACTTTTCCCAGAACTTCCCAGAACATGTGAACCTGTCTCTTGGTAATTAAACATCAGCATTGAATAAGCTTCGTGAGGAAGTTGATTCCTTGTATAGCAGTTTTCACAAATGGCAATGCTTGGGCTGGAAAGACCCATGTCAAGGATCTATCAAATCATGACTAGGTTTGTTTTAAACACTCCCCGCCCCCATCTCCAGCAAATTGCAAACAGCTTTCATAATCTTTCCTTTTTCTCCTTGTGGCAAGTGATTTTTCTAGGGTTCTTCTGATTTCATGGAACTACAGTAGTTCATAATTATTGGATCCATTCTTGTGTATGTGGCCTTTTCCTCTGAACAGTTTCATGAGATATGCGGGTTTTGTAGAACAGAATCAGGAAACACCCTTTTATTGGATAGGCTCAGATATTTTTCTTACCTTTTTTGTTGTTTCCTTTTGAATTTTACAGTAATAATAGTAAAAAAAAACACGCCTTATTCTGGTAAATGTCTCTAATAGTTATATGATACCACTAGTTGCTGCTTAGAGAAATATTGCAGTGTGTCCCATTCTGGTTCTATTGGTATAGGGTGCCCATCTCTATGAGAAACTATGTTTTAGTCATAGTAGGGGACTCTTTCCCATATTAGGCTAAGCAAAAAGTTACATTATGGTTCATATTTATCTGAGCCAGGCTTTATGTCTGTTTCAGTGTAACAGTGTGCATTTCAGCACACAAGACCTAGGCAGTGGCACTTCCACTAGTAACTCAAAATCCATAAGGATTTGGTGCAAAGAACATTATGGCGGCCATGCTTTCCTTATAAGTATCAGGGTTTGTGTAGGAGACACTTGCAGCCAAAAATAGACTTCTGTTATTGCAACTTCATTATGCTCTCCCTACTTCTGGAAAAGCCGCCCCGTGTCACATTCTCCTGATTGTACCGGCCCATTGCCTGTTAGGAACCGGGCTACGCAAGCAGTGCACGAGTGAACAAAGCTTCATCTGTGCATGTGTGGGATCTAGATTGCGCACGAAACCATCCCTGCTGTCATAGAATACCTATGGACATATACAGTAATCCTTTTGTGTTCCACCAAGCAGACTGCTATTGAGTGTAACCGTTGCTTGTTTGCAACTTATAGAAAAGCTGTATGTAATAGATTCGCTTACCCATGCCAAACAGAAAGGGAGATGATAATAGTTGCATATATAAAAAAGAAGAGAGATTCTGGAATTCAAGATGGAAAATTATTTTGCCCCAAGTGATCTGTCTCCAGTATACCTGTAGTACTGGCATATCAAGGAATCTTTAAACAGACAGCAAGGATAGGAATTGCTCAGCGTATAAAATGTTGACAGTTAATGCTTTCCAGTACTTTTTTCTTAGGATAATTCTGTGTTAAATGCATTTTTTTTAAAAAAAAAAATTACCAACAGCTGCAAACACATGGCTTGTGTAAGTATGCGTGTGTTTCCCATTGTGGTTTTTATTGTTGTCTACCAAAGAGGATTCTTGTTTTGTGTTCCCTGGTCAGCTTACTTATTGGATTCTCACTCATTTATGGCAGTGTTCCAAATTGCTAGATAGGGATGGTCACCAGCTTCTGGTCTGCTTTTGCCTTCCATTCTTTTAACTGTGCCATCCTATTTTAGTGAAGGGTATATTTCCTGACTTTTTTTTACAAGTTTATTGAACATATTTTCTGGGGGGAATGACTGAAAAGTAGAATTCACAGATGACTCTGGTCCTGTTGAACAATAATTCTTTCTGCCCTGCCTTCCCGTTTTACCACACCTCCACCCATCAGCTCTCTGCCAAAATCTCTTTCCTCTAGGGCAGGGGTGTCAAACTCAAGGTCTGGGGGCCGAATCCAGCCTGTGGGGTGCTTAGATCTGGCCCACAGAGCACACTAGAAACAACCAAGGACCAGCCCACATTGCCTCTGCCAGTGAAAATGGAGCGGGGGGAGGGTGCAAGCTGGCAGAGGGCGGCAGGAGGCCATTGCAGCTGAAAATGGAGCTCTAGAGCCCTTATGTCACTCCACTCCACCAGTATGAGTGATGTCAAACTGGCCATGCCCATCCTGGCCACGCCCCCCCCCCGAGGTCAAACACAACCCTGAGGCAGCCATCAGTGAAATTGAGTTTGATACCTCTGCTCTAGAGCAATGTCTCACAACCTCGGCAACTTTAAGTTGGGTGCATGCTGGGAGTTGAAGTCCACATATCTTTAAAATTGCTAAAGTTGCTCTAGCATAAATGGTATTGCACTAGGTAATGGATTGCCATTCTAACCGACGTTTGAGGACAGGGCAAAGCCCTTCCAAGTTCTGCTTATTGGCATATCCAGCTGACTGATTGGCACTTGTAATCTCTTTACAAAGCCATTTTCTTTTCAGCACTATATGGTATTTGTGTGTGTGTACTTAAGAGGATTATTTCTTGCAAATAATATATTGTGATTTTAAACGCTGTTCTTTCTTCACTAGATGACATTCACGTTATATTCTAAAGGGGAAGAAAATTTCATGTCTTCCAAGACTGCATTCTCCATGTTTTAAACAAGTCATTGGTTGGATTCATGCATCTCTTTAAGCCATAGTTTCATGAACAAACCACAATATACTAATTTTATGAACAACAGTGACAGTGTTCACTCAGTACTGATGGACCAAACTGAACAAATTACCTGTGGTCTAGTGGTTAAGGCATCAGGCTAGAAATTAGGAGTCTGTGAGTTCTAGTCCCATTAAGGAATGAAAGCCCACTGGGTGACTTTAGATCAGTCATCACCTCATATGGATTTTTCTGGGAAAAATAGAAGGAAGAAATATTATGTATGTTCTCTACCTGGAAGTATTTGTAAAAATAAATATGGAATATGTATTTTTTAAAAACTATGGCTTAAATAGATGATGAACTCAGCCATGGAATTGTGAAAAACATAATTCTTTGAGGAGCTTTAGCCTTGGAAGCCAGCACAAAGTGAGAATTTCCACTTCTTTCTCTCTCTGTGGCGTTTCTTGACCAAAGTCCCCCAGAGCTTAGCTCTTCTCTCTAACACCAGGGGAGGGCCAGCTGTGGACGAACGCCTATGGTGGGTTCCAAGGCGGGGGGGCATGCAATTAAGTATCCATGGAGGGCCAGCCAGGGATGAACACCCACAAGTGGGTCAGCTGGGTTAGGGAGCCATGGCTGATCAGTTGATCACAGACAGGCATGGTCATGATCAATTGTCCTAGACCAAGGGTCCCCAGACTTGGCAACTTTAAGCATATCTGGCTGGAGAATTCTGGGAGTTGAAGTCCACACATCTTTAAAAGTTGCCAAGTTCAGGGATCTCTGCCCTGGACCTTCCTCCTTTCAAGAACGTATTGCACACCAGCTTTTTCCCAGCAGCATATGAACCAAGTTTAGCAAACACACAAAAAAGAAACATTCAGGTTCATTACTGGCCCCGAGACAGAAGCTCCTTAACAGATCTGTGACCTAACCGATATTTAGACAAGACATTGCATATCACAGAATACTCTATCTTCTATTATTATTATTACAGAATTATAAATATTTCCAATATTGGATAAGAAGAGAGGTTTTCACCAACAGTTCTGTCTGAAGTTAGTCTACAATTAAGTAATCAGTTGTTTCGATTGATTGATTGATTGCTAGTTTAAAAACACTCATTGACAAAAACCTATAAAAATGGATGAGGAATCCTTTGGCCATACAGTAATTGTAATGCAAGCCCCAATCGATGCGTTGCAATATATTCTTCAGTTATAAGAGGGAAAATGATAAATGGTACAGAAAGCCTACTCTCAGAATAACTTTCCTTTTCTAGAACCATGTCAGTCTGGCTTTTGGGCAAGATAGGCTACAGAGTGTGCTTTGGAAGATTAGAAGAAATTAGATAATTGGTGGGGTATGTTTCAGCTAATTGGTCTGGATCTTGTAGTGCCTTTCAGGACCATCTGCCA